CCAGTGTGAACAGGGTTTCGGCCAGCACGAAGCGATGCCAGACTAGGCCTTCCTCGCTTGCTTGGTAGCTCATGGGGAGGAGGTGGCACACCCCAGCTGTGCCCTTTCTGCCACCCTGGCGGTGATGAAACAGCCTTTGAACTCCCCCCTTCCAACAATACTAGAGCAGGCTGCGCATGGCGGGGAGCAGGCGGAGGAGCTATTTTCCGGGAGCTGGGCAGGAATCACAGTGGCAGAGAGAGGGACTGGCCTTGTCAGGCCCTGGCTGGAGCCCACACCCTTGGTGGGGCAGGAGACTCCAACACAGGTGATTTCACAGCTGTCAGTGTAATTCAGGAGTGTTCAACTTCACTGAGCCCTGACATGCTGGGCTAAAGCCCTCTGGCTTTGGCATCAGATCTGTGGGGCCCAGGCTTTGGCCCTGGGCTCCTGCAAGTGTAAGGCCAGCTCTTGCAACCCTGTTAAACTGGGGTCAGAACCCACAGTTTGAGAGCTGTTAGCAGGTCTGCCGGACAGGCAAGAGCAAAGGGGGCAATTAGCTAAGGCCCTGGGTGATCCCAGCCTCTGCTACAACACCTTTGAAGGCTTTGGGGAAAGTTTTTTGATTCAAGTATGCTTTTGATATGCCCCATGTAGTTTCCAAGGCCTGGTACCAGGCCCTGGAACTTACATAGAGCATATCAAACATGTCTTTGCATCAAGAGAGGATGCTATAGCTTTTCCCAGAGCAGTCAACTTGGATCCCAGGAAGGGATGTGCAGTGTGGCTGCCCTGAGGCTCATCCAAGCAAGTGGGGGATGAGGATGGTCTGCCTCACTGCTGGGGGAGGTGAGGGTGGGAAGAGGAGGCCCATTGATTTCTGTCTTGGGACCCAAATTGCTGTTGTCGGCCTGTTGGCTTTTTCAAACCCAGAAATCTAAAAAGGCTGAGAAATGTTGTATTCTCATTATGGATTTGTTCTACTGAAAATTAAGGAGAACTGCAAAGATGTACACCAGTGCTTAACTTTTAAATATGTTAACTCAATGGACATGTTTACACTAGGGAAAAGAGGTATGGTTTTGATGTATTTTGTAATTCTAGTGTGGATGACGCAAGCAGCCCTTTCAAACGGTTGGGTGAGAGTAAATGGAGGCTCTGCACCTACCTCGCTCAGGTGTGAAAACTATCACTTGCCTTGCTAATGCTAAGGGCTTATCATGCATTTAAAACACACTTTTTCCTCATGCAGACTGGGCCTATGAGAGCACTTGCACCCTATGTAGACAGCAACAGATTGAATTATTCTGTGGTCCTAGCTTTTGCCTCTCCTTGAAGTGGATTACCTGTGCCGAGGGATGGTTTGGGGCGGTTGCGCTGGGCCTCGCTCTTGGGGGGGCCTCATGCTTCACAGGGACATGGGATCTGTGTGGGATGAGGCATGGGAGCCAGTGGCAGGCCAGCTGGAACCATTCTGCTCCATCCTGCCTCCCCAGCTCCTGGCATTGCTCAGGAGAGGAGATATCAGGAGCTGTGAGGAAGCAGGGGAATGTGCAGGACCTGAGGTCCCGGGATGTCCCAGGCCTTGCCCCACCATAGGGATGACCCTGCCAATGGGACCTTTGGCCTAGGACAGTGGACCCCAACGCAGTGCCCGCAGGTGCCATAGTGCCTGCCGGGCCATTTCTATGCGCCCACCAAGTGATCGGGGCCAGCCCCACCCCTGGACGCGCGGTGCATGAGCGGTGCGAGCCCCTGGACGCATGAGCGGCGCCGGCCCCAGGTGTGCAGCACATGATCGGTGCCGGCCCCGGGTGCACGGTGGTTAGGCAGCTCCACCCCCGGGTGCGCGGTGCGAGGTCTGTGCCGGCCCCGGGCACGCAGCACATGGGTGGCCCCACCCCCGGGTGAGATATGGCATGGGGGAATTGTCAGTGTCTGCATCTTCAAAAATTTCATCTTTACAAAACAAAAACCCAGACCCTTTCTAGGGTAGTTGAATATTGGTTAACTGAATAGTTGATTAATGAATTTTTATCAGTAACATGACTATTTTATAGTCCAGGGGGGTAGACCTAGCAGCCAGTGTGCTCTGGCCCACTCCTGAGGACCCCCTGCCACTCCGAGGTGCTTGCCTCTGTATCAGAGGAAGCAGTGTGGGGTGCCAGGCAGGAACTTAGTCCACAAGGGGAGCCCGTTTAAAAACCAACTTCCCTCGTGGACTGGCTGCCTGTTGCCCCGTGCTGCGGCCTCTGATGCAGCCCCTGTTGGGGAGGTGGATGTGTAGAGAGTCTGAGCTCCAAAACATGAGCTGGAACTGAGCTGGGCTACCTGCCCACCTGACTCCTAAACACTGTGCCCCCGCTGCAGCACTGCATTTAAACTGTATTAGGAGCCAGGTGGGCAAGCAGCCAGGCTTAGTCCTGTGATGCACTGGATCCGGGACCTATCCCCCACTGCAGCTCTGCATTTTGGTCCCAGCCCCTATGCAAGCCAGGACTGAGCCAAGCTGCCTACCCACCTAGCTCCTAATGCACTCTAAATGCAGAGTCACAGCAGGGGTAGGCTCCAGACCCAGCGCAAGCTGTCACTGAGCTGAGCTGTTGGCAGGCCTGCTAAAAAATTTACAGGGGCAGTGTTCCCTCTAAGCTGCCCAACAGCACAGCTTCACGGGTGATTAATCAGTTCCGCCCCAGACCGGGCAGAGCTGATTAATCACCTGTGCAGTTGTGCTGTGCAGCTTAGTGGGGGGGAGGACGGGGCCCCGCAGGCGGCAGAGAGAGAATCAGTGTCATTTATAGAATTAACCTATAATAACCTTTTGCTTATGGGATATTTTGGCCTTGGAAAGGGTTCAGAAAAGAGCAACTAAAATGATTAGGGGTTTGGAACGGGTCCCATATGATGAGAGGCTAAAGAGACTGGGACTTTTCAGTTTAGAAAAGAGGAGACTGAGGGAGAATATGACAGAGGTATAAAAAAATCATGAGTGGTGTGGAGAGGGTGAATAAAGAAAAGTTATTTATTAGTTCCCATAATAGAAGAACTAGAGGACACCAAATGAAATCAATGGGTAGCAGGTTTAAAACTAATAAAAGAAAGTTCTTCACCCAGAGCATAGTCAACCTGTGGAACTCCTTGCTAGAGGAGGCTGTGAAGGCTAGGACTATAACAGAGTTTAAAGAGAAGCTAGATAATTTCATGGAGATTAGGTGATAGAATTGGTGTCCTTGGCCTCTGTTTGTCAGAGGCTGGAGAGGGATGGCACGAGACAAATCGCTTGATCATTGTCTTTGGTCCACCTCCTCTAGTGCACCTGGTGCTGGCCACTGTCGGCAGACAGTCTACTGGGCTAGATGGGCCTTTGGTCTGACCCAGTATGGCCGTTCTTATGTTCTTATGGTTAATCATCTACACTATATCCCTAACCCCTTCTTGTATGTGATTGCCCTTGATATCCTTGTATTCCCATTATATCTGGCTTGCTTTCCCCAAAAGCCTATGCCATATGTTGTGATTGTTAAAGTAATTTATGTATTTCAGATAGTTTTAAAATGTTGAGGGAATGATTTTGTGCACACTTCCTCTTTCTGTTCTCAAGGCATAATCAACTCTTTATACATACTCAAAAGTGGTTTTATTTCAATCATCTTCATGTCCTGTTCTCCCCCCCCACACACACTTCTTATAAGCAACTGTAACTTGAAAATAATGATAGCTGTCATTATAAATGTTTGGGGTGAGAGAAATTTTCCTCCCTCTGTTGTGGTTTTCTGTTTCTCTCGTCAATACTCTTAAATCCTGCTAAAGGGGATTTGTGCTTGGTGCCCTATAAAGATAATTCTGAAGAAAAATGTTTGCCCGTCATGAATCAGAATGCTCTAAATGTTGTGAATAATAAACATTGTTTCCAAGGGAAGGAATCCCTTCCTACTCTTGAATTGTTCTGTAAGAGTTTTATTTCCATCCCCGCATCCAAATTATTGTTCTGTGCTGATAACTGGTGCTAAATTGTCTTGTGCATAATGTATATATCCACAGGTAACATAAGTAGTGTCAATGTGGATCTTGACTGCTAATTCACAAAGAGCCATTCTGCAATCCTAATACACATCAACTCTCACTTGACTTACACGGAGGGGGGTTGGAGTTTATAAAGACAGTAAGATTGGTACCTTTTTTGGCATTTTCTGACCTCTTGGTTTTTGGGCTTTTCTATGGTGATCATTCCAATATCAGACGCCTCACAATATGTCTGTAGGGTTGGGAAGC